TCGCTAGGATTATTGAGAGGCTACTAAAGGTTAAGGTGTGTGTGTGTGTGTGTGTGTGTGTGTGTGTGTGTGTGTGTGTGTGTTTGTGTGTTTCTCATTGCCAGTTGGTGTGTTCATTCTCAAAAAAAGAGAGACTGAGGCACCAGCAGGTGGCATGGTGGTTAAGGCATTGGATTCCCACATGGATGACTGCAATTTGAGTCCTGGACTAGTGGCTTGAAAATCACATTAGGATGCTAGGCAGATGTATATGTGTGCCCAAAATTCCAAGAGGAGAGTGGAGGAGAAAGGATTAAAGTATAGCCATCTTCCCTGGGGGGTGATTTCTCACTTTGCCTTTCTCTGTCTCTCACTGTTTCTCTTTGGTGAGCACACGTGCCCTGTTTAAAAAAAGAGAGAGAGAGAGAGAGAGAAAGAGGAAAAAGAGAGATTGAGAGACAGAAAAAGAAAGCACCCTCAATGAAGCGTGGTCATGCCACAATTCTTTCTCCTCCATTTCTGCATTTCAGGAGGATTTTAGGCATACATGCAAACACACACAGTGTGTTTTCAAGCTGAGAGGGCCAGGATTCAAAATGTGGTCAGCCCTGTGGAATCTGGCTCCTTATGCACTGCTGCACTGCAGGACCTGCCCAAGGTTAAGATTTAACATTCAAAATCAAAACAGAAGGATACCCTAGTTGTAATCCACACATATCCACAAAAGATAAAAACAAAATATTCTACTTCTTCAATGGCACAGAGCTAGTAAGGAGCAAGAGGGTATGTCAGATTCTTGTGAAGCCAGAAACGATATTCTGTCTGCCACAGAACACTGCTTTTAATCTTAAATTCCTTTTAGTGCAAGGAGTCACCGTGTATTTCTAAATGGAGTTAAAATTGATGATGGATTGCTCCTTTGTATGTCACTGAAGTATTGTTACGGTGTTATTAAAATATTTTGGTGGCCACAACTCAGATATAGGACTGATGTCAATGTCCTATTCAGTGGTCTCCCCTTATCAAATGTATTCCAAAACCCCCAGTGAATGTCACAAGTAGTACCAAACCATATACATCCTATATGTTTTTCTATACATATACACATACCTATGATAAAGTTTATAAGTTAGGCACAAGAAAAGATTAGCAATAACTAAGAATAAAACAAAAATTCTAACAATATATTGCAGTAAAAGTTTTGTGAATGTGGTCTCTCCCTCCATCTCTCAAAATATCTAATTGTACTATAATAAAATGTTCAGACTGCAGCTGAATGTAGGTAACTGAAATCATGAAAAGTGAAAATGCAAATAAATGAGGACTACTGTATTTCAGGAGCTATCATGGGTTTTCTTTTATTATGATGATTATTATAATGTATATTTTTATACATTCAATCACTGCATATTATTACAGCATGAAAAATAAATGTTCCCAGCTTGAATACACTGCTTATTAGTCTAGTTAAAGATATTATCATAGACATTATCAACAGATAGATATTATCATAGACATTATCAACAGATAATTTTCCATTTTTGTGTCACTTAAGTCTTTTGCTTCTTTTCCTCTTGATTTCTTTCCTCTCATTTTTTTAAATATTATGATCCTTAGAGCCCACGGAAGTGATCAGAAGAGAAAAGGTTAATATTCATCGGGGATTTAAACACTGAATGAGTTAGTTGTATTAGTGTGCTAAAACTGCCATAACAGTATTCCAAAGACTGGGAAGCTTAAACATTTTCTCATAGTTCTAAGATGCTCAAGGTTCAGTTTAGTTTCTGGTAAGGGTATTTTTCCTGGCTCAGATAGGGCCCCTTTGTCCTCACGTGATCTCTTCTTTGAGTGAGCCTGGTCCTGGAAAGAGGGAACACTCTGGTGTCTTGTAAGGATAACTGATTCTATCGGATTAGGACCCCACCTTTATGATCTCATTTAATCTTAATTTCTTCCTAATATGTCTTTCTCCAAATATAGTCACATAAGAGATTAGGACTTCAACATGCAAATTTGAGGTGGGGGTCAGGGAACACAATTCAGTGTATGCCATTTCCCTATTTTCTCATGTTCAGAATTTTCCTTTCTTTTTTTAGTTTTGCTATAGGGCACATGCACTCACTGGAAAGCGACAGAGAGAGAAAGTGGGAAAACACCCTGGCGGGGCTGGGGAGGGCGGGTATGATAATGCTACAGGCCCTTCTCAACTCTCCACCTGGGGTTTGGGGTACGCACACATACGTGCCCAGTGTGTTTTTCAAGCTGTCAGGTGTAGTACTCAAACCAAAGAGTTGGCCATGTGGGATCCAGCAGCCTTAACTACCATACCACCTGGCTGGCCCAAACTTTTCATTTCATAATGAGAAAATACACAACGTTGACATTTTCTGTCATCTGTAGGTAATATTTTAATTACTAAAACTCTTAGAATAAATAAAATATTTTAAACAATTATTTATTTCATTTTAGTTATTCAATTCATTTATTTTAATTTGGCTAGAGAGAAACAGAGAGAGAGAGAGAGAGAGAGAAAGTAAGCCACCAGGTCCAGGACTCAAACCGTGTTCAGCCATATGGAAATGTCCAGCGCCTTAACCACCACGCCATCTGCTGGTCCCCAAATAAATCAACTTTTAATTCCTGTTAAACAAATATTTTTAGACGTTCTCCTATAGTATAAAAGGAGATCACATGATCTACCCTGGGCAGCAAGCTCCGCAGTCCTAGGAATGTGGTGGTTGCTGTGGCGATATTGCTTACCTGTTCTTCCCTTCTTGTCTGTCTAAAGAGAATTGTTTGAAGAAGTCACTGCAGGAGGAGCTCTGGTTCCTGGTAGAACATAGAAGTGGAATTCAATAAATTTGATGGATGAGGAACCAGTCTCTCTTTAAAAGATTATTTGGGAGGACCAGCAGTTAGCGTAATGGCTATGTCACTGGACTCCCATGTAGTCTACTGCGGTTTGAGTCCCGAACCCAGTGACTTAAACTCACACCAGGCGCGTGTGCATGCGTGCCCAAGATCCCGAGAGGAGAATGGAGGAGAATGGATTGTGGCATGACCATCCCCCCTGGGGGGTGATTTCTCGCTTTCTGTCTCTCTGTCTTTCTCTGTCTTTCTGGCGAGCACACGCGCCCTATAGCAAAAACCTCTCAAAAAAAAAGATTATTTGGGATCAAAACGAATTGTGTCAGGACCACCTGATGGTGTAATGGTTAAGGCTTTGGACTCCCATGTGGCCAACCACGGTCTCATGCTGTGTGTGTATGCATGCAAAATCCCGAGAGGAGAATGGAGGAGAAGGGACTGTGGCATGGCCATCCCCCTGGAGGGTGATTTCTCACTTTCTGTCTCACTGTTTCTGTCTCTCTGGTTAGCACATCCACCCTATAGCAAAAATCTCTTAAAAAAAAGAACAAAATCCCAAGAACTAATGTGTCATAAAAATGTCTAGCCCCGTTATGATTTATAGGACAGTTTTGAGGTCTACCTTTAATTTTCTGTATTTAAATTATGATGATGAAAAAGATAAAAATAATAGCTTATATTTACTGAATATTTATGAAGCACAGAGAACTGTTCTACTACATTAAGTGTAATTCTTCTAATCCTCACAGTGACTCTAAAAAAGGTCCTATTTTTATGTGGTCAGCTGTTTTAAGAACATTAAATAACTTGCCCAAGACCACACGGTTTCAGATAAATGAAGCAGAAAGTAGTTCAGAATTAATCAGGAGGTAATTATTAAGACCCTTGACTGTGTTCAAGTTGAGAAAAACATGTGAGATGGGAGAAAAGATCTTTGCCACATAGAAGTCAGAATATTAGGGGCTGCTAACAGGTGACATCGTGGTTAAAAGTGCTGGATCCCACATGACTGACTCCATGGTTCAAATCCTGAACTTAGTAGCTTTAAAAATCATGCCATGTACATGTGTGTTTGTGCCCAAAATCCTAAGAGAATGGCGGAGAAAAGACTGCAGTGTAGCCATCCCCTGTAAGGGGAGTGATTTCTCACTTTCCCTCTCTCTTTTTCACTCTCTCTCTCTCCAGTGAGTCCACATGCCCTATAGTAAAAACTTGTTTTAAAAAATTAAATAAGGAAAAGAAATAAAAATGGGACCAGCAGATAGCGTTATGGCTATGTCACTGGACTTTCATGTATTTGATCACGGTTCGAGTCCTGGACCTGGTGGCTTAAACTTACACCAGATGCTTGTGCGTGCAAGCCCAAGATCCCAAGAGGAGAATGGAGAAGGGACTGCGGCATGGCCATCCTCCCTGGGGGGATGATTTCTCGCTTTCTGTCTCTCTCTGTCTTTCTGGGGAGTGCATGCACCCTATAGCAAAAACCTTAGCCCCCCAAAAAAATAAGTAAATAAAAATGTCAGAAAGGATTCAAGTTTGTAGTATAGGTCAGAAGAGTACCAAGCTCTGAATGATTCGAAGCTTCTCAGGAAATCTGAAGGTGTAGAGTTTCTCTGGGTGCCCCACGAGCACCACTTGTCACAGTTACCTGCAAGGTTTATTTAAAAATGCAAACTACTAGGCCCTGTCCTAGAATAAGTAAATCCAAGTGTGAGGACTAAAGCCCAGGATTCTGCACATTAGCTAGACCCTCCTACCCCCTCCACATACACTCCTTTAAAGGTCTGTTTGTTTGTTTTGTTTGTTTTTAGAGAAAGACAGATGGTGCTATTAATTTTGAGGGCATCATACCACTATCAGGTTTGATACCATAATATATAGTTAATGCCTTATTCCATACCTAATTAACTCTATAGCTGCCCAGAGAGTAGAATTCAGTGTACCTTCTTCAACCTAATCATTAGCAAATTATGTTCAAAATTAGCAGTAGTACTTTTTCATGGAAATGTGAAGAAATCAAAGGTCATATTTGGTTAATATAAAGCCAAAGAGCACAGAATTATTCAATGTGGACCACTTAATACAGTCCTTACTATTGAATAGTCAAGTTTTGTACCTGTGTATGCTTGATTTTCTTTTTTGTCTCCCTAAAGCTGCAAGAGAAATAATCTGGTTAGAAAGAGAACAGCGAGCCAGGCAACATTACGAGAAGCACCTGGAAGA